AACACTTTGTACATTCCCTGTTTTTATTAAAAATTGAAGTGGAAAGGTTCAAGGTTAGGAAAAATATGAAGTGCATTACATAAAATGCAACTGATCAATAAAATATGACTTCTCTATGCCAAATTTTAAATAAATGCCTTGTATACTAAGGGATTCAGAACATTATTCTAAAGAACAATCTTTCAAAAAAATCCAACTTTAATTGGAATGAAGGATGCTCAGCATCTCTGAAAATAAGCATCTCTTAAGTAATTAACCTAAGATGTCCATAACTTAAAAACTTGGCCCTGTATCTGTAAGCTGGGCCCCGTAAATTCTGCAGCCATGAAATAAGCAAAACGTCAAATATGGTTAGAAAGAAATCACATCTTTAACACAAAGCAATTTGAGAAATATGCCTGAAGCAATATTTGAAAAATGTGTGAAACACCATTCATCTCAGTCAGGAGTCCATGGACTCCGTGATTCTCAGACTTTGGTTCCATCAGAGATAGCAACATTAAACATTTTTTGACTCTGGCTGTGGCAATGTGCTGCCACCAGAAGCCAAATATATTGCTTTCTGCCTCTCTGCCTGTACCTGCTTCATGCTCCCCAAATTTTCCCACAAAGGAAGTAGTATTGGATTATACTGCATACTCTCTGCGCAATTTCATGAAGCCAAGAAACAGAGATATTAAGCTTGGGACAGAGTTGGTAACTGAAAATCTGAAGGAACTAGTAAGGTGAACTGCTGAGCTAACCTGAGCAGCCAAGACCTAAGAAACTGAGGAGATGGGCCACTAAAACTCCCCCGACTTCCTGGTATTTGTGGAAAAGGATGTTTTCAGCCATGCCACATGGCCAGCATTGAGAATGGCTAGGGGGTCAAGCTGCCTGATGGTCACAGTGAAAAATCATCCATCAATAAAAATAATAATGCAAATAATCACTGTGAAATTTTACATCAGTATATATTTGTAATCACAAGCACAGTCTTGTGTGTTTGAAATATGAAAAAGGCAGGGCATTTCATGAAAATAAATTGTTTAATAATGTCACAGAATCTATAGCTTCTTGCTGCAGCATGAAAGGGGTCTTCTTGAATGGTTTGATAATTTTGTGCAGAACTTGGACTTCTGTGTTTAATTAATTTTTGGAAAAGAAATGAGTGCTTTAATACTTCTGCATAACACAACAGCAATATGCATAACTTATGCAAAACTTTGCACAAGTCATCCAAGGATTTCTAAGTATATTATATTATAATATAAAGGTCAGGCTTTATAATAATCAATAAACAAATGCGTGTATAACAGGCAACTTTTATTTTTTAATCATTATCTTAAAATGTTTTTAAAAAAACATTCTACTGAAGCTGTTACATTAATTTCCTACATTTCAAGCAAAGATATACAACAAACAGAGAGGACGGAATGAAAAGCAACTAAATGCCTTTAACTATACATCTAAGGGGAAACCTGTAAGGAGTGTACAAAGGCAATAATATTACACTTTCCCACTAAAAGTGAGAGGTAATGTGTTCCACATTTCAAAGCAAGCCAAATCAGAGGCATGTTACCTTGGCTTGTGCACTAAGATTACGCACTTAAGAACTATTTTATCAATATATCTTACATAGCATCTTTACGGTTCTACCCTAAAAAAAGATATCTCAACAGATATCAGGAAGTAGAAACATATTTCAGATGTATCATCTGAAAATAGTTTGATTGTCTTTAAATCTCCAGCCACTCACCATGTTATGTCCTACACAAGGAAAGTATTAAGGGATCAGAGACAGAGTAAACACTGAGTTCACATTGGACACCTTGTTGGTTGGAAAAAATCATGTACTGTATGCTGTAACTCTGACAGCAGGTATTAAAGGTCAGTTCACTATTCACTCAGATAAAAGTAGTTATGTGACTGGAACCTTCAGGAATGAACATGAAACATTACAAGCTTAATTTTTCATATGTACAATACAAAAGGATATTTAAAACATAGCCTTGTTTTGGAGTCCAAATCATAAATTGTTTTCAAAAGAGAAGATAACCCCATAACTTAAGTGGCAAAGTAGAGCTGTAATCCAAGGAGATAAGCAAACTGATACATCCCACATCAGTAGAACCTGGATTGCATTTAAGACATTTGTGAAGCACTCTGATTTGTTACCATGGTTTTTTTTTCCTGGGGTTTTCCTCAAATGCTGCTCACTGTTTAGTTTCAAAAGGGATGTTACAGTGCTTTGGGGTGTGGCCTGTGATGCAAATCTAAAAGCGTAAATCAGGCAAGATACCCAGTGAAAAGAAAAGGGAGTTTAAAAGAAGTTTTCCTCAAGTGTGAATTTCAGACTTCTGTTCAGTCTCTCACTCCATGCCTAGACATCTACAGTAGCTTCAGAATTACAGCCAACCAAACTCTTCCAACATGTTCAAAGCACAGTGATTGGATGTGATGGATTCTTAAATGAAGAGGGACTTCCTTCCGAACAAAAAACACCGTAAAAACTAACCACCACCAAATAATCATGCATTTTGCTTTATTTTGTTAATTTTTTTCTTTATACTCTCATCTTTTTCTCCCCCCATCTAATGTACATTTAGGTACCATGGAAACAATACTATCAGTGGCAAGAGCGGACATGCGTAATAGTCACAGCTGCAAGTAACATTTCACAACTACACAGAATGAATTTTAATTTTAAAAGTGCTTTAAAAGATAATAGAGAATATTTATTGCCATGTGTGTTTGCAAATGTGCACACACACACTATTTAGAAGGTAACATTTCTGAATATACAAACTGAGTCAACATAAATCCTTCAACGACTGTAAAAATTAACCTTTTATCTCACTTCTTGGTAATAAGTTCTGCCCATGGTCATTTAGTGCTTGATCCAAGACTCACTGAAGTCAATAGATGACTTTCCATTAACTTCAGCAGACTTTATGCAAGATAGTTGATCCATTTAATAATACTAATTACTTCAATTTGAGAGGTCTGATTTGATTGCATACCTTGTTCCCATTGCCCTTCTATGCTAACAAAGGAATATTTTAACTCTGTGTATCCTGAGAGAGTATCCAGAGACAGTCTCATTCCCCATCAGCTCTTTGGGGCTGCAGAATCAGAGAGGAAAGGGACAGGTGTGGGATGTATGCAACTCAACTCAGACAAGTGGGCTGAGGAGAAATGATCGAGCAGTAGAGAGAGAGAAATGGTGATCTGTTCAGACCCTAATATAGGGGAGAACTTCCACTGAACTTTTCTTCAGTTCTGCAAAGGAAGTTGGTTCACCTGTTTTATGTTGTTTGTCTGGAAGGAAAACCTTCACTCTAAGAAGGAAAATAAAACACTGGAACAAGTTACCCAGAGAGGTGGTGGAAGTTCCATCCTTGGAGGTTTTCAAAACCTGGCTAGACAAAGCTTTGGCTGGGATGATCTAGTTGGGGATGGTCCTGCTTTGAGCAGGGGGCTGGACTAGATGACCTTCTGAAGTCCTTTCCAACCCTAGCTTTCTATGAGTATGAAATCACTTGCCTAATATTGAGTCATTTTTCTGCATTAGTATCAAGTTTTCCCACCATGTAGTTTCTTACTATTGTTTGTATTACAGTAGAGGTCACAGTCAAGATGTATGTCCTAATGTGCACTGTACAAACATATAAAAAGACATTCCCTGCCCCGAAGAACATACAGTCTGATTACATGAAACAGACAAGGGAAAGGAGAAAAGGAATACTGTCATCCTTATATTGTAGATGAAAATAAGCCACAGTGAGATTAAATGACTAGCCCAATAGTCACACAGTAACTCTATGGCAGAACCAGGAATTAAATCTACATTTCCAAGACCAAGTCCAGAGAATGGGCCCCACAACCATCATTAATGTTTATCATATAGCATGCGGGTGTTTTAAAATTTTGCCCTTGGGTTCTTACAAAAAAGATCTTCCCTTCCTGCAGCAGAGGATCAGATCTATTTTTTATGCTACTTTTTACATCTTTGAGCCATATGTCAATACAAGCAAGTTGACATGGCTGTAATGTAGGAACTTCTGCTGTAGCTGCTCAGACTAAGTAAGAGATTTCTTGTTCTGTTTTTCATCTTGCTGCATGTGTTCCAAATCATTTTGACTGAACTTACAGTTCTTGGCATGTGTTTTCTATTTGACCTGAGACGCATCCAAGGTAGACAGAGTATTCTTTTAGTTCTTTAAAGATACTTTTCTATATACTAATTTTGGTTTAGTTATGTGACCATTAGACCTGTTTTTATTTTCTTTAGGTTTCATGCTTTCTAGCTTTCATAGCCCATATTCTCTGCTAGTTTTTAAAGATTGCATAGTGTTTATGAGTAGAACTAAGCCACATATTTCAACACTGTTAAAACTTTCTTCCTGTGAGCCAGATTCAGTATATAGAACAGCAGATCTCAACCAGGGCACTGCTAATTTCAGAAAAGTTATGGAGAAGTGTATTAAATATAAAGAAGTTAAGAATGACTGCTTTAGAACATTTTCTAGAGAATAAAAATCATGACGACTTTTGAAAGAGTGACTCCCCGCAACATTTTCTTAATTTCAATCAGATACAAGTCTTAACTTCAATTTATAGGAAAACTCAAAACTATATATTTGTTTTCTACTTGAGTTTTTTTAAATAAACTGAGATTTTTAAAGTCACCTCTAAAGGCATGAACTAAAGATCAAGACTGAAATCCTTCCCCTGTCGATATCAAGAGCCAAACTCTACTGCAACAGAATTCCATACCAAAGATTTTGAATCAACATGGAGGGGCTTCAGTAAAGCATAACTCTGCAACCACTTCAGATAAAGAACCTCCTCCTTGTTAATCATCAGAAAAGAATTAGAAAGAGAGTGACATGTTAGACTTATCAACTTTAATGGCTTCCAGTAAACAAAGATTCATCTACTATTTGATCAAAATAATCTTTACTACAAATATGATCACTTAATCTTACTAAAAATAAAATTTAAAATAAGATAGTTACCAGTTGATGGAATTCAGAATCTCTAGGAGTCAGATATGGAAGCCAGCTTTCTCCAATTTCTTCAAGTAGCTTTTGTTTCTGTTTAAAAAAAACCAAACAAACCATATATTATAACAAAAATTAGGCCAAGGAAACAAACAGTATTTAAATAGTAAAACAACTGTATTAAGAACATAAAAGCATAGAATACTAGTTCTCTCTCTAGACACAATCGAAAAATCCATCTTCCAATAAACAGGAGCAAGTGGATATAAATTTACCTCAGTGGGGTTTTGCCAACAGATTTTTAGTCAGCAGTTTCAGAATACTAAATTATATTTCCCTTCATTCTCCCTTAGAATACACTCCTTACCACACCAGTAAACATCTACTGATGTTCAAGTTCTGGAAGACCTCTATCTGGCTTACACCTTGATCTCATTTTTATTGTTTTCTTTATCTTATGCTTCAACTTTTGCATCTCATGATTCCCGTGTCATCCAGCTGTGCTCTAGACAGTGCTGAAGTAGACATCAGCCTATATGTTCAACATAGTCTCTGGCTTCTAAAATCAAAAGGGAAGAGGAAATACTCTCTGTACCTCATCATCAATCCAACCTTCCAGCCTGACCACACACAGACCAAGCTTCAGCCTTTTGAAACAAACAGCTACAACTCTGGCTGATGGGTAACAGTCATTTATGCAGGAGATTGCTGTGAAAAGGAGGGGTTATTTTTAACTGTCATCTTTTACTATTTTTGTTTGTATTTGGTTGGAAAAACGTCTTTGGTAGAACTAATACCTTTGTGAGAACGCTGAGAATGCTCTGGTTGTACTCTAGTAATGTTCCCATTATTGTAAAAACCCCCAGAAAAACTGGGTTTTAAATCTGCAATTTTCTTCCATGCCTACCTTATTAAAATAGGAAGTCGATACCTACTGCGCAATGTTTATGGCAGTAAAGCCTTAGACAAGGGGTGGCCAAGATAAACGCTGCAGTCTGAGAGCTGTCACACTGCAGCCCACTGTCTTGCTGCCAGATTCCAAGACCTCTAAATCCAGGGGTTGGATCCAAAGCATGGAGTCATGCCCTCTAGCCTTTGGGGCCAGAAAGGAGAAGCAGAGGCTGTCACAGCTCTGAGAGCTGCACCAATTCATCTGGATTATTTCCAGCCCTGAAAGACAGATGGCATGGCTTCATATTTTGTATCTAGCCTGCAGACAGGCCCTGTGCTCCAGATCCAACCTGACCCCACACCACTCATCCATGGGGCTGGATGAGTTGGGTACCCCTGCCTTAAACCAATGGTTTTCAAACTTCCTAACGTCATAGAACCCCTTTGTATCACTGACTGACACAAGAGCCAGGCAACCCAGGTTGGCAATAGTGGTGCATCACCTCCCAGGCCACAGTGCCATTACCCCCAATCTTTTTGCAGAACCCCTAATGACCTATTGTAGAGCCCCAGGGCTCCATGGAACACAGTCTGAAAACAACTGCCTTAGTCCATTAGAGAGGACTAGCCACAGGGCTTCCAAAGCTATAATTCACAAACCGTAACAGAGATAGACACATTCAATCAAGTTGCTCAAATACACCTCCACCTAAACAGGAGAACTATGGGTGTGCAATATTCTGTTTTACATTCTAGACAAATATTTCCTTTGGCTTTTCCAGGACAACTCATCTTATCTGTACTTAGTTTTACTTAAGTGACTGTCTTCTCTGGTACTATCCATATCTTTAGTCATTAACAAACAACTAATAAAAATGGTAATTAGAGGTAATTTAGGGGGAAAAAATTAGAATAGATGTTAGCTGTACACTAAGAAGATTAATCACATATATATACTTTTAAATAAACTTTTCTTTTATATGTTTTCCAACTTACAAACATGAAAAAGATTTAAGAATTTTTTGCCAGAATCACAATATTTGTGTGTGAAGAGTAAATATGTTTATATTCCACATTTGACATAGCACTATTTTAAAGTTATGACTAAAACCCCCATTGAAATAATCTCCAAAGGAAAAAAAAAAGAAAAAACAAAGTTAGTAGTGAATTCATAAAATCAAAAGAAAAGACCTACTAAATATTTTATCATCTAGCGCACCCGCTTGCTAATACTAGGTTATTCCTTACATCTCGACAGTACTTTGTCAAGTCTGAATTGTAAACAGCCCAGTTCATATTTTCACCAGCTCCCTATTAAGATATTTTACCCGCTAAAAGGCCACATTATCAAGCAAATTTTACTAATATCCAGATACACTTCATTTATTTTTTTTAATAAACTCCAAGTTTCCATGTTCAGCATGATATCCTAAATAAATCTTTCCTCCTTCTTGTCTTTGTCACCTGAAAAGAATTAAAATAATACACAGATCAAACCCTGCACTTATAATGGACAAGACAAACAGAAGTATTAGGAACCCACATCTACTACTGAAGGATACAGCATCCAGGGTTTCAAAAGTAAGGAAAAAAGTATATTCTTAAATTTCAGAAGAAAAGTGGGATGCTGAAGTATTATAGTTATGAGGTCAGTCAGTCAATCATATCCAAAAGCAGGTAGCATGAACTAATACATCACCACTCACAAACCTCCCTTGTTGATCTTAACTAGACTGACAAGAACAGCATTGAAATTTACAAAGTAGAAATGTACTCTGATCTCTCAGAGTCTATAGTTTTCTTTGGGGACACATTATAAATTGACATTGAACCATTGGTGAAACCAAGCAAAATGTAACTTTAGATTAAGTTGGCAGACAACAGCATGTTAGTGCGCTGCATATTCCCAAACAGCAATTCTTTTATATTACAAAAGAAAAAGAAAAGAGGCAAGTTATGTTAGCATTTTTATTTCACCAAAATTAATTAAAACACTAGGCTGCCTTTGCTAATTTTAAAACAAACGTATAATTAATTTCTTGTCTGCATATAAAGTAAAAGAATCTTAAATTGAAAAAATGTAATCTTTCAAAACACAGGCTAGCAAATGAAAGAAAGAAGGAGAAAAAAATCCCTGACAATTTCTTTGTCAAACGCCAGCCTGCTGGCAAAGCACACAACATTAAAATGCACTCTTGAGTGTAGGTAGTACTAGCTCACACTTGATTGTCAGATCTGGCTAAGTGCTGCTCCTCAGTTTGATGTACAGACAAATACACACAGCTGGGTGGTATAACACACTGCTCTTCTCATATACAAGAAGCTGTCACACGCATGTCAAATACATCAAGCTACTCACAAATTCCTCCAAAAAATAAAAAAGGGAAAAATCAAAGACCTAGCTATACTAGCTAGATGTAATCTAAGGACTGTTACATGTGTGTTGTATTTAGAGTCACCTCAACAGTTACAGTTAAGGGCATAAATATCTTACAAAAAACTGTCTTTATTTGAAAGTTATATCACATATGGCTAAGTGGTTTACAGAGACACTTTTTCTTATGTTTTAAAAATGTTTGTAATTAATAGGACCATATAAAAACTACATTAATATCTAGTTTCCAATACAATTGTTCATTCAAACTGGCTTTCTTGCAGAAATGTGGATCATTTCCTGCTTATATGCACCACTATCATCACAACAACATTCACATGCACAGTTCTAGAAATTTACATGCACTGAACTAGCAGCTGCAGAGATAAGAGTAGATCTCTAACTATGCATTAAGTTCATGGGCTGCTGGGAATTTTACGACATATTATTAAGGAAAAAGGCAATTATGTCTAATAACTTTTACTGGACCAACTGTACAGCTGGAATCGAGTTAGACAAATTTAGAATGCAAGACATCTTCAGGACTGACGAGAACAAGCCAAGCACAGCATACTCCTGAAGAAGAATGTCTCGCATTCCAAACTTTTCCAACTCTATCCCAAATATACAGTTGGTCCAAAAAAACTTATCACCCTGAGAAATCCTGGCCTCTAACAATTTCTGGACCATCATGTCTACATCATCACTTTTACACTACCATATTATTAAGGGAAAGAGGTGTAGGTCTCAGTACTGGATTAAATGCCAGAAACATTTACTTTCTCATTCCAGTTCTAAAATTTGGAATTACCCAGTTTTGTGTGCATGAATTACAAACTGCTGTTGTCCTGTAGTAGGTGACCCTAGAGATGAGAAGGAACCTCCTGTCATCAGTGAAGCCAGCCATCTTTAGTTGGAATGATACAAGCTTGTTTTTCCATACAGCTTCCTACATGCAATTCCTTCATGTAGATCCATTTACTAGTGACACGTTGGCGAGGTAGCCATTAATAAAATTAAGTGCCATGATAATACATGAAAACCTTCTCCATCAATACATTGGCATTTCTTGTCAGCAGGGACAGTAACTGGCACAGAATAATTCCATTACAGAGCTGGAGGTATAACAGAAGGGCAGCAAGTGCATCGTTTGAATTCATGTGCCACAATACACTACTCATGGTTTGTTGTTTCTAAGCCAAATAGTTGAAGGGAGAGATAGCACTTAAAGAATAATGCTATTCTTTAAGAAATGGAAGGAGGAGGAACTGTAGAATTAAGGAATGGTCAGTCTGATGCTGATAACTGGGAAGATTATGGAGCAGGTCACCAACGAATCTACGTATAAGCAGGTAAAAGAAAAAGTAGTTGATTAGGAACAGCCAACATGAATTAAGAGCAAGTTTACCAACTTAATTTCCTTCTACAACAGAATAACAGGCTTTGTTGATAAGAGCAATGAATGATATACCTTGACCATAGCAAGATTTTTGGTCAGTCTCCTACAACATTCCTATTAGTAAGCTAAGGAAATACAGTCTAGATGAAACAAGTGTAAAATAGATACATCAGTGGTTGGATCATCAGTGGCTTAGTATCTAATTGGCAAGAAACATAAGTGGAGTTCCGTAGAGGCCTTGCATTCAGTACTACTTACTATGTTCATTAATGGATTTGAAGAATAGTAGTAAACACTAAGCAAATTTAAAGATGACACCAAGTTGGATGGAGTTGTAGATACTCTGGAGAGCTGGATTAGGATTCAGAATTAGTATTACCTAGATATACTGGATAAATTGTGCAACTAAAACTAAGCAAATTATATTCA